GCTTGCACATGCTGCCTTAGTCTCTGTGAGTTCACATATAGGCTGATTCTACTGTATTTAGAAGACCCTGCTTTTTGTTTGTTTTGGTTTGGGGGTTGTTTTTGTTTTATTTCTGTTTTTGGTGGGGTTTTTTCTGTTTTGTTTTGTTGTTTTGTTGGTTTTTGGTGTCTTCCATCTCCTCTGGCTCTTACAATCTTCTTACATCCTCTTCCTCATAGTTCTCTGATCCCTGAGGGGAGAGGTTGGATGAAGACATCCCATTGAGGATTGAGTATCTTGATTCAATAAGTAGCTCTTTCATGTCACATACAACCCATTACGTAGCATATGCATACTCTTGTTCAGAATTACAAATCATACTTTGGACGAGTTCAGGTGGGCAGTGCATAATACTCTCCTGACTACAGAATGCTGCTTTTCCTCTTATAAACCACATACATTACACCTTAACTCTAGTGATGTGTTGGTAGGAACTGTAGATTTTTTTGTTCTACATAAAGTCCTACCAGCCTCACTGTCGCTCCAGTGTCTACTATACCAGATCTCCTGTCTTAATACTCTAATTGCCGCCCTCCACCCCGTGCTTTCATTCTTGGCCTTTTAAGATATTTCCAGAAGAAGGATCCATTCAAAATACCACTCTCTGAGTCTGAAAAAAAAATATGAGGGCCTACAAAACCATGTCAGCAGCAGCTCTGGAAAGCTTCTGGCCCCAAGCCCTGGCATTCTCCTCCTTGACCATTCTCCATCCTCATCCTTTAGAAGCATCTAGACCATACCAGGTATCCAACACTCTACCCTCCCCTTCACAGTGTGGCTCAGACCTCTGCTGAAATGCCCCTACAACAGAAAGGCACCCCCATACCATTGTATCTAAAAATAAGTCACCCTCCACAACCACAGTCCTCAGTCCCCCATCTTTTTGCCCTTGTTATTCTCTCCTCAAAGAATTTTCATGTTATACTGTTTGTTTACCTTTAGGCTTAGTGACTATCCACTCACATTCGAATGTAAGCTTGATGAGTTTGGGGTCTTCTGAGTCTCACATTCATTGTTATACCACCAAAGCAGTCCCAGCATAGGGACTCAACAAATGCTTGCTGGGTACAAGCTAGTTTGAAAAAATAATAAGGTGCATTTCTTCCCAACTCCAACTGACTGTTAGGAGCACAGAAGCCGACAACACTGTGATAGCTCAGGTGTTCCAACTGCAAATCAACAGTGCAAAGATGAAAGGGAGCAAAAGCTAAGACAGTGAGTGTTGAAGATTGGAACGGCTTTGTAAACATGATTCCTTGAGGCCAGCATTCAGGCAGGTGTGATACTTCCTTGCCAGCTAAATAAGCCTTCAATCATCCACTTGTTTGCAGAAGATAACCCAGGTCCATACTGAGCCAGTTATTCATCCAAAAGAGACCACAAGACTGTGGAACAGTTTGGATCCACAACTCCACAACGTTATCTGGGGACCCAGGTCACTTCACTCCTTTTGTGGGAGGTTTCATTCGAGTGTCTGAGCATAGGCACACGCACATACCACTGCTCTCGTGTGGAAGTCAGGGAACAACCCCGGGATCATATTGTTTGAGGCAGGATCTCTTTATTGTTGAACGCTTAATCAACCTTCATTCTCTTGTCTTTGTCTCCTAACTCTTGCTGGAGCACTGGCACTACAGAGGTCACTCTTGCACCTGGCTTTGTGTGGCTTCTGGGGATTAAACATAGGTCCTCATGTTTGTCTGTCAAAGCCAATGAGCCATCTCTATGGCCCACTTCTGTCCTTTGCATTCTTCCCATTTCTCCTTTCCTGGAATGTTCTTCACATCAAAATCAGTGATAGTGTTTTACTAGTCACCTGTGCAGGGAAGGAGAAATAGAGGAAGTTGGGAACAAGTGTTCTCCTTTCAGGAGGTAATGGAGAAGCTGCATGTCCCATTCTTATGTAGTCTGACTTAGGCATGTAACCACAGGAAGATGCAAGAGAGAACAATGGCTACAAAATGAGACTCTCAATGAGTGTCCATGTGTTCTGCTAAACTCTAAACCCTAGGTAGGGGAAATTATCCTTGAAGCAAAGAGTGATGCATTGTGGAGGGAGGGGGGCATTGGTCTTAACGTTAACTGATTAGCTATATGCTCTTTAGCCACGCACTGTCTCCATTCTTGAAGGCCCTAGAATAGGTACAAAAGGCAAGCCCCAGGGATGTGTGTTATAGGTACAATACAAAGCACAAAACTCTATAACCCACAATCAGGCACAAAGTGCTACCAAAGGAGTTCAGGGGAGAGAAATTAGAAATCTCAGAAATGAGGTTGCTTTGAGAGACAGGAAGTGAGCAGCAAAAGATGATTCATGACCAGTGGTCCTTAACATGTGGGTTGTGACCCCCTGGGGGTCAAACGACCCTTTCACAAGGGTTGCATATCAGATATTTACTTTACGACTCAAAACAGTAGCAAAATTAGAGTTATGAAGTAGCAACAAAAATAATCTTATGGTTGGGGGTCACCACGACATGAGGAACTGTGTTAAAGGGTCGCAGCATAAGGAAGGCTGAGAACCACTGTGCTAGGTGAAGCAAAGAGGTAAACATGAAGGCTAGCCTCACCGTCTAGTTCAGCTTCAGCATAAAGGGATTTGTGGAAGAAGCTGGGGGCTTATTTCTTCCAGGCATGAAAACGGACAAGAGGTTTTTAATGGGTCACTAATACTGCCAGAGCTGGCCATGCAAACATCATCAATGAACACGAATGACCAGGAGCAGGAGGGGATAAGCTGGGATGGAGGTGAGATGCAAAGGGTGGTCACCAGGTTTCCTATAAGACCGTTTTATAGGAAAAGTTTAAACCCCCTGGAAGCACCTTGGTCAAATATTAAGCTGAATCACATATGATTAACACATTTTCTGAGTGCCTGCCATGGTTAGGTCAGCAGATCTCAACTTCTTTCACTGTATATGTTCAGAAAGAAACATTTCTTCCTTTTTCACAAATATGTCTGGAAACAAAGATTGTACAAAACAACATTTATCTAAGCCATTCTCTTTTTTTATCCTGAATTGTAGTTGTTAATTTCAGAATGACAACCTAAATGTATTTTGAAAAACATGTTCTTAGACCACAAGGAACATGGGAGGAATACAGAATGCATGCTATCTAAGCCTTCCAGATTACATCTGTCAAAGGAAGAAAGAGCAGCACAAACTACCACAGGACAAAAGAGTAGAGCCGTGGACCTGAAAGGGACCGCAGATGGCATCTTGTCTAAACATTCCATGCTGTTAGTGAAATGAAGAAGCACTGTTGCTTTGACTCAACAGTTCAAAGCAAATTAGTCCACATAAGAGAAAGACAAGCAAAGCTTCTTTAAGAAGTCCAGAACCCTTATGTTATTAAATTCCTTCTAAAACTCAGAACAAATATTGTGGTATATGTAATTTGAATTGAACAAGTGCTTGTTCAATTTTGTGTGTGTGTGTGTGTGTGTGTGTGTGTGTGTGTGTGTGTGTTTTATATTGGTATTTGGTTTTGTGTTGGTGTTAACTGTTTCTGTTTGGGAACAGGATCATAGTTCATAGGCTGCTCTCAAATTTTAGATTCTCCTGCCTCTGCCTCCAAATTTCTAGTATTGCATGACTGAACCATTTTCACACCTGGTTTCAAATTTGTGTGTGTGTGTGTGTGTGTGTGTGTGTGTGTGTGTGTGTGTGAATGTGTGTGTTTGCCACATTGTGCAGGTGCCAGAATAGACCAAAGAGGGTGTCAGCTCTCCTGCAGCTAGAAGTATGCGCAGTTGTGAGCCATTCCATGTAGGGGCTGGCTACTAAATTCAGGTCCTCCAGAAGGACAAGTAACTTAACCACTGAGCAATCAATTTCTCCAGCTCCTCAAATACCTTTAATACGAATACTATTTATTTCTACTCATAATATAATTGCATTATTTGTTTAAATATTCATGCATGGTCTAGAGTCAGTGGTATGGGCCAGCAATGTGGATATGGTTTCATATTTAAAGTTGTCCAGTGACCAGCTTATTTCAGTCAAGCTGTTAGTTCTCCATGATGGAATTATCTCCTTTTTGGATATATCAAAAAGATATATTTGAGTCCATCAGACCCTGAAGGAAAAAAGTTCTAGTCAAGTGGACCAACTCTCCCCTTATCCCTAACCTATATCGTCATCCCTACAAGACCGAGCTGTCTTGACTTGTAGGTGTTCTGGCCCTAGGATGTGATGAGGTCCTCAGAGTCTGTGTTCTTCTGACTCTTATTAGTCTAGGTTTTTCTGCTTGATAGTACCACCAAACATCCAGGGGATAGCTTCAATGTGGCTGTTACGGTAGTAAGGAACCAAACATTGGAGCTGCACACTTCACTAAAGGCTGACTCTTCAAATGTTACCAGGAAAAGATGTCAAAATTTTCCATTCAGTCATCTGTGTTAGAATATTCTACTCTAAGCTCTCTGTGTTTTCAAATTAAATACTATTCAATGAAGGCATGTTAAACTAATCTTCTTTATCTTTACTTGTGGTTCAGGGAGGAAATGGCTGTTATAATATACATTCTTATTTTATAACAATAAAAAGTGAGTATATCCTGATCTATTTACAGGGAAATATTCTTGTTTGATTATTTCATATTATAAATAATGATTGTAAAACTTATGTAAGTCACATTCTGATATTACAAATTTGTTTCAAATTATTAGCGTTTGTCTAAAAAGTAAAAGGCAGGAATGGATATATATGTAATATAAGCTGTTAAATGATTTATTATAAAATAATTTATTTCATTTTTCTTAGGCACCCCTTCTGCCGACACCTTTTTTTTTTTCAGAAATTTAAAGAAAGTGTTTACAAAATATAAGAAAACAAGGTTCTTCACAATCGCTTATGTTTGAACAGACTTATATTGCATTTTTTAACAGTGATCTCCGCTTGAATAAAACAGTGCTCACTCTCTCTCTCCCTCTTCCCCCTCTCCACTGAAACCCACAGACGTCTTGCTGGAAACGCTTTGACACACATTCCCAAGGGTGCGTTCTCAGGCCTTCACAGCCTTAAAGTTCTGTAAGTAAACCAATCATTGTTGGAGACAGTTCTGATTTTCCTGTGACTGCTAATTAATGCACAAATATTGGGTGACCCATTATGGTGTTTCTTTGTGGTGACCCATTTAAGTGTTTCTCTGCCTTCACTGCTGTCATAAAACCATGTTATACTTGGCTTTACTCTGTGTGACAATTGCTCTCTCCTTCTCTGACGTTACAGCTAAAGTTGTTTGCCTCTAAATAACTACCTTACCTACTCATTCATGCAAGGATGTTTTTCTTTCCCCGGGTCATGCATCGGGGAGCATGTCTCCAAAGAACTTGGTCACTGAGTGACTAACTCACTGTGATACCAGCATAATGAGATCACAGCTTCAAACTTAATTTGAAATTTGTTTTCTTATGATATACCAAGTAAGGACCCACTCAAAAATACTATGTTTGTGTGCATAAGTAGATATAGAAGACCTGATGTATGACCTACTAAAATGGACAGCTGTTCGCTAGGAAATGTTGGGTTAGGGATGTAGCTCAGTGGTACAACTTTGCTATTAACAGAAATATTTTAGGTTATATTGCCAACCCTAATGCTAATTTATTTTATGCATTAGCACCAGGTACAATGAACCCAATGACTGTATCCATGAACCCAACAAGCTGTTTGGACCATTCAAAATGCATCATGAAATTGAAGTTTAAATAATATGAATAAAATGATTTTCCCAGATTGGATTATGTATAGCAAAATATTTGAATGCTGTTAAAATAGTTATTTTCTAGGGTCTGGAGAGATGGTTCAGTGGTTAAGAGCACTGGACGCTCTTCAAGAAGATCCAGAATTGAATCCCAGCACCCACAAAGTAGCTCACAACCACCTATAACTCCAGTTCCAGGGGACCAAATGCCATCTTCTGTCCTCCACAGTCCCCCTCACAGTTACAAGTAGGCTTGTAAACATATAGGTAATCACACACTTACATACAATTAATTAAAAATAAATTAAATTAATTAATTAAAAATAAAATTCAGAACAATAAAAAATAAATTATACTATAATAAGCTACTCAATTCCCTCAACAAACTGTATATTGAATATATGAGCTAGTGTGTAGGTGTGTATCTCAGCCAACATGTTTTATCTGAAACAAAGCTCTTAATATGAATACAAATGATATACTTCATATCTTATGGTAATTACATAGAAATATAATTTTAAATCCCTAAATTTTTAATTAAGTTTGAACTGTCCAAGTTTTATACATGATTTTTCCACCACAATGTTATTTACGTTTCTTAATTTTACCACTGTATAATTCCAACTGCACCATCTTTCCATTGACTGCTTCTCATAATACACTACATGTCTAGTAAATTGAAGACAGTTTATTCCTTGGTCACTGGTATGTCCCGGCTCTCTGAAAAGTACCTGAATCACAGTATACACTCAGTAAGCGTTTGTTAAATGAATGACTCTGGTTCAGGATGCAGAGAAAACACAGACACTCTAGACACCAACATTTTCTCAATTTTGTATACTGTGAACCCAATGGTTCAAGTTTGTTTATAGAATGCCTTTTGGATACTCCGCAAGAAAAGGTGTCTGTGTCTGATATGGGTTTCTACCTACAAGCAGGCTTCATGTGCCCAGAATGATTCTGCACACCATTAGGCAAGAAATGTTTAGACTTTGCCATTTAGTTAGTTTCCCTACCGAATGGAAATGATGAGGGTCCGAGAGTAGCAAGGTCCTGCAGGGATTTTGTTCATCACTGTCGTTGCTGACTTTGAGACTATCCACAAGTTGTTAAATAAACTGTCTTAGAGGGATGGTGCTAAGCATGGAGGCTCTGCCAGCGATGGCGTGCTTAGAGAGCTGTGGGGACATCCTTCCCCAGATGTGTTCCAGAAGGATCACAGTGTGAGTAGCACAATTATGTCCCATTCCATTTGATGTGTGACCGTGCCTTGTCACCGAATGCAGGTCACTACAACTTTAATGCGCAATCCTGCTGAAAGGGTCCTACATGGTGTCATGTTTTGTATAGGAAAATATAGGATTAAATGTGTCCTGTCAAAACCATTGACTAATTAATTAAATTTGTAGGTTTTTTTTTATTCCTAGCATTATAGGCTTTCTAATAATAAATTTAATTCAAAGTAGCATTTATTCAGTAGAATCATTGCAAAAGCCACGAAATAAGATATATAGAAATACATGTAAAGATAAAATTTATTTGAAGACACTATTAAGTTAGCAGAAAGGTAGGAAGCAAAGAAAAAGGGTCACGTTGGATTTAGTTAACAAAGCCTTGCTTTATAAATATTTCATACTACTTCCTTTTAAATTACTGGGGCACAACCATACATACACAGTTCATGTTGTAGCAATTATTCAGTGGCTTCTTACTTGGGGACTGCCTGTTGCTTTTAAAATCTTATTCTTCCACTGCCTACCAAGTTTACTGCCCAGCTTTGAAGAAGGCACCTTTGTGACTATGCCTACCTCCTAGCTAATCTTGAATACCCATTTGCTATGAAGGGGTTTGATCTCCAGGGCTTTTCAGAGTACTGTTAAAGGAATGCTGGCCTCAGCCTTTTCACATGTGACAAATGTTCTGATGGCATTTCTAAGACTGTCCTGTCCTGAGGCATAGGAAATGAGTTTAACTCATCCTGAGGATACCATGCATGTGTGAGCTTTATACTTCTTCACCTGAACTGCAACCCTACTAATTTTCTTGGGGGAGAGGGGTCTGTTATTTTTACTTTAACAAAGGTTACTTCCTTTTTCCTTTAAAATATACAAGAATGTTCTGTTTTTACACGTCTTCACTAGTTTCCATCTATATTCCATATCTATGTTTTTATTCTTGTATGGAATGGCTTCTGATCAGGTTATTTTTATCACACCTTAATATTAAAAGCTCAGGCGAAGGCTTGGGGTGTAGCTCAGTGTAGAACATGCACAAAGTCCCGGGTTCTATCCCTAGCACCTCACACAGGAGCCTCAGCAGTGCATGCCTAATCTCAGCACAGCCAACGTGGAGGTAGAAGTTCAAGGCCACCCTGTGAGATTGAAACCTTCACGAGCTGCATGAGATTTTCTCTCAGGGAGAAAAAAAAAGAAATAAATATATAAAATAAAGCATCAGAGTCATTCATTAAAAATGGTTTATGGGGTTGTCACTTGTAACATTATACATTTAGTAAAGCATTAATAATTTTACCTTGGATGACTTTTTCATAGTTTTCATAGTTTGCCTTTGTGATAACATTTGCCTTTGTGATCTAATGAGGGTGAAAGCCATAGCACAAGTGCCAAAATTCTGAGCAGAACGGTCCTTCTGTCACTATCCTCTTAGAAGCTATTGAATGTTTTATAAAGTTTGAAAGTGGCTACAAAGATAATATAAAGGTCGGTTCATGTACAGCCATGACTTGCATATGGTGGATGAGTCAATTCTATGGCAAAACAAGAGAAAGGAACTAGAGATCCATCCACTAAATTGAAGAACAAAGATAACAGTAGCCCTTGTTGGCCAGTGCTGCTTTTACATATGGAATCTTATTGTGATCTCTTACATCTACTATTGAAGATTTTGTTCCTGAACATATTGGCTGTAAGATAAATAAGTTAGTTGTTCGTGTACTGCAAAATACTTAAGCCAATGAAGTGCCAAATGAGGCCAACCTCAGCAAAAGTTCATTTTGTGGAATAAGCCCTTCAGTCAAGGAAAGGGTCCATCTTCTTACCTCTCACCAGCAAACCAAAACGATGGGCAAATTTTGCTGATGGGCAAAAATAGCCACAGAAAGCCATACTTCCCCCATGCATGTAGGTGTTGGCCTACAGTCGAGCCTTCATAGGCAATGTGATGTCTATACATGGGGCGCTTACACAGAAAGAACATCTAAGAATTAGGTCATCAATTGTCACTAGTCTCCACTCAACAAGATGACAAGTTGTTCTCCCTGCCACCTAACTTCATCTTCTCTGTTCTTATCGAGCCTGTACTGATCAAAAGGTAAAAGAGAAAGAAAAATAAAGTATAAGTAGAGATGTATATTTAGGGAAGACTGACAATGCTGTATGAAATGGTAACTGTTTAAAGTATACTCGGGAATGGAATTAAGAAATACAGAACCACACCCTGTCCCTAACTAAAGCAGTTCCTGTTTTTGTAAACTTGTGCAAATGATAAAATGGAGTTGTATGCCCACATGCCTGCTCAGGACATGTCGGACCCTGCTTAGGTCCTATGTGTTCAGTAAGGAGGGTTTGCAAAAGAAATCAAAGTCCATGCAAGAGTGTTCTATTTGACTGTACTCTGGTCTGGTACTATAAACACTTTAACTATTTTGTCTCCCTCTGAAACGTCTCAAACAAAAACAGGTTTTTCGAATTAACCCACTGGAGACTTGAGATAACCTGCTCTTGTTCTGAGAGATCTGGGTTTAATTGATCATTGGGGGCGTTGTAGGATTTATTTATTGTTTGTACTCCCTTGGAAATTAAACCTCCCCCAAACCTTGCATGCATGATGCCCTTGTGGGTTTTTTTCTTTTCCTTTGTCCTTTTTTTGGTTTTTGAGATAGAGTTTCTCTGTGTAGCCTTGGCTGTCCTGGACTGGATTTGTAGACCAGGCTGGCCTCAAACTCAGAGATCCACCTGCCTCTGCCTTCCCTGAATGCTGCCACCATGGCCGTCTGATGCTCTGACATTTTAAGGCACCTGGAACAGCGTCTGATGCTGATGTGTTAGGGTCAGCTATGGTTAGTTCTCTTTAACGTCTTTCTTCGTTTGTTGTCATGGGCAGCATGCTGCAGAACAACCAGCTGAGACAGGTTCCTTCGGAAGCACTACAGAACTTGCGACGCCTTCAATCGCTGTAAGTACAGTTGTAACTACAAAACATGAATCTCAGTTTGAGAAGGAAATTGAAATGTACTGTTTTATCCGTGATTGACAGCTTGTGTGGACTTGAGGTCCTAGCCCTGTAGTTTGGGGGTCCCAGGCAGATGTTTAATTACACTAGGCAACCAAAAGCCTCCTAAATGTTGGTATCTCCAGACCAAACATCTACTTCTGTCATCTTGTCCTTCATTCCCATTAACAGTTTTGCTTCTGAATTCCAGTGAAAAATGATGCTTACCTTTTCCCTAGGAAACTGGATGGAACAGTCTGATATTTCGGCTTCTCTAACTTGTTTTTATCTTTAAACTGTCTGAGCTTCTTCACAATCCAACTTTACTTAGCAAAATAAATACAAGTGTTTTTAAACTCTGCATATCTCTCAAGGACCCTCAAATGAGGAAATCAAGATCTACCGTCCCTTCTGAAGCACGACCACTGCCCATCACTGCACACACATAGATAATCACAAGCTGTCCCACAGTGCCCACACACATAGACTCATAGAACACACACACACACACACACACACACACACACACACTGCAATAGTGCTGATGTCTTTTGCTTTCCATCAAGAGTTTCTCTCCAAGCACCCACATAAACAAATAAGCATTTCCTCACATGAAGAACATTCATACCGGCTAGATGTTTGGGAACTTGGGTTGGAAGTAATTGTCCTCAATCACTACTTGGCAAGTCTCTGCCACAACTGTTTTGTTAGTGCGCCGTCTTCTCATCAGAATGTATGAGTGATCGCAATACATTGCATGATTTCTGATATACGTGTGAGTCATGCCCTCCCTAATTAGACTTATACTGGAGGTCCTCATCTGTCAAACAAAGCACTGCTTTCTGGTCTTGACTGATGAGGGAGATAAATGCACGAACAAAGCAAGAGAATACTAGAGGCTGAAAATCTTCGTAAGGAACCCATCAGTTAATAATTACATACAGTTTGCTTAATGCTTTTTACTGCGGTGACTTGAGAGAAGGGGATGGGAGATCTGAAGATGAGACCTTTATCCTTTGATCTTTCTTTTTAATGAAAGAAAAATCTGTGCTTGAGATCATTTCAAGCTTTTTATTCTGGTCAAACAAAGTGACTTCCTAGGTTTTCAGCAGCCTATAGATAAACAAGCCCACAAGGGCCCCTTTGTGGCTGGGGATGGGGCTGTTGCATTTCCAGCCACTCCTTCATGACAGGACTCTGTCACCCTGCTTTTGTTGAGCTAGCTTTACGTAAAGGAAACAAGCAGACGGAAGCCAACTGCCTCCAGTAGGGCTGTCGGGGCACGGGGATCGAGTGGCTAAATTGAAATTGAGATAATGGCAGTGCCCAATAGGAACTTTAAACAGCTGCAAGGCAGGCTGTAGATACAAGGATAAGAGTTTGTAACCAAAATCCCCATTGGCTGAAAGATCACAAACAGAAGTGAACTCTTTGAGAAAGAGAAAACCATGAACCTTTTGTTCCCTTGAACTGGGTGGTGACCCTCCGATAAAGGTGTTCAGATTTGGTTTCTGACCGGCTACATATTTACTGTTCACCAGGTGTCTCCTGGTTTCTGGTTCACAAAGGAATTACTTTCTGAAACCTTATAAATATATAAATACATGTCCCCTGTGAAAAAGTCAAGGGTTAATTTTCCGGGATGACATCACATGGAAAGGAAGTGTCTAGACGGGTTCTCGGCCCCTGCCTCACAACACACTGCATCAGCTGGTCACGAGGTCCCTTTGCCCAGAGCACAATTAGTGTCAGGTACGGGGGGGGGGGGCAAGGGCGATGTGTACTGGTGCACTCCTTTCTCTCGCTGATACTGATTGTGCTGTTTTGGTTCAAGGAATAGGATTTGTTCACAAGAGAGTCATAAGCACAAATTAACCACCAACTCTACAGCCCATGCTGTAACTGAAGGTGCCCCCTGCCCTGGCTTAGAGGTCTGGAGGACAGACAACTCCATTCAAATCCTATTGTTATCTTGTGCTTGAAGATCGTCTTTCCCATGCTTCTATTAAACGGCTCCAAAATTAAAGTACTAGAGTGGAACTAGAGTCATCATAGTCCTTGTCTGTTTCCATTCTGATGCCAAACCTTCCACATGGAATGCAAGGGCATATCAGCTTTGTACTGCTTCAGTATCAATAAGAGGAGGCTTGGGCGGTGGGGGGCGGCAGAGGTGAGACTCCATCTGCTCCACTGTGCCAATACCAGGAAGTCTCTCTACCAAGTCACAGCCTCTTCGCGGACTTGGGTCAGCACTTAGATTATCACTTAGCCCCTTAGTTAATATACAGTGGTTCTTTTATTCTACTCTCTTAAATTAACCCTCATTTCTGCTACTCCAGCACACACACACACACACACACACACACTCTGGGGGGAGGGGTAGATTTCCTGTGTGTTTTACACATCTCCCCACCACTGCGGCCCTTCAGTGTTAATGATAAATAATCATCCAGGGAGTATCAGAACCTAGGCCACAACCCAGAACAATGCAAATCAGAATCTGTGAGTGTTGCTGTGGCTAACGCCTGACCTAGAAGGGAAGCATTCCTTTTGGCATACAGTTTGAGGGAATCCGGACACAGTCCATCATGGCAAGGAGCGCATGGTGACATGAATGGTCACATTGCACTCACAGTCAAGAAGTAAAGAGAAAACAGGAAGTGGGTCCAAGCTATAAAATCCCAACCCCCACTCTGAGTTTTTCCAGCAAAAGTCCATCTTCTGAAGGTTCCACAACCTTCCCAAACAGTGCCATCCTCTAAGGACCCAGTGTTCAAACACAAGATCCTATGACTGACATTCCCCCATTTAGTCCACAGCCCTGAGGATGGGATCCGTGCACGGGTGTTCTCTAAAAGCTTTCTTGTATAGGTAAGAAAGTAAAGTAAAAACTTAAAGTAAAAACTTAGAAATCGCTTGCTCTGTAGGCGGTACTTATTCCCTCAGGTGATATGAAAGCCATTGTGAATTCTTTCCAAGCCTGAAAAAAATTAACAGAATTCATACTTTGCAGTCCAATTTGAGCTAATAATACAGGTAGAATATGAAAGTAAGGCAATGCCTTGTGTTTAATTGAAAACAGTTCGCCTCTCTGCCTGTTAGCTCTACTGACTACCTTCGGCAGACAAAGTTAAAAGGCCACATGCTGTACTGGCAAGATATTCACACGTGATGCCTGGAACAGCTACAGCAGCACCATCTTGACTACGCAGAACCTTGGGGCCCAGCTCAGAGTTGCTTAATAAGAATCTGAATTTTCACCCAAACTCTAGATGATCTGCATACAAAATATGCTTGAGGAACTAAAATGTTCAGTGCTCTGTTACCCTACCAAGCGGTCAACACACCCAAAAGGGTTGAGGAGCAGCAAACCCGACCATTTCTAGTCTCTGCTTCACCCATCCACACTCAGAGGAAGTGTAAGAAACTTGATCTATTGCAACTGGTAACGTTACTGTGAGGACGAGACAGATTGTTCTCAAGTTTCAAGGGCTCTGATTCTCCACTTGTTCCCCATAAACAGAAACTGGTTTGTTCCTAATGAAATGACATCGGCACATTTGTGTTCTTTTAACTGTCTCCTGATGCTTACAAACTGTTCGGCTGAACTGAAAGGGTCAGAGGCCAGCAGCACAGAACACACTCCTGTGCAGTACATACATTTGACTCCTGACACGGCAGTGACTGCCCAGACACCAAATGGATTCTTGTAATGTAATCAAATGTAACTTCGTTTCCTTTCTGTATTTTTTTGGAAGGGGATAGAAATGTAATCAGAACTCACTGTGAGTTGTATTTCACTCACAGAGACTTTTGGCACTGTGGACATATGAGGATTAGGGTTGGGTTGCAGTCATCTGATGATAACTCAAAACCTAACCCTCCCGTGCCTCTTACCTTCATTAGTAGTTAAGAAATCAGTCTATGTGTAATGACAGCCTCATTTGTGATGGCCAGTAATGGGTTGCAAATACCTCAAAGTTATACATGAGGTTTAAGCTGACCAAGGAAAATTATACACTCACATTTGTCCAAGTATCCAGAGGATTATTTGAAACGCTCATTCTCATTCCAAATCCTCATCAGCAAAGCTAATATTGTAAAATATGTGTCACAGAAATGGTGAGTTGCTACAGAGAAAATGAAAGAAGAATCGAGCATATCTTTATTGTAGTCTCTATTTTCCAGTTAGGAAACAGAGACTGCAAGTGCAGGGTGCAAGGGCATACTTAAAAAACAATCTGAATGTACAATTCCAGCCTAAAGCACCACCTACCTATACCTAGATATAATTTCCAGGACCACAAATTCTAGAATCATCTGCCAGTAACTTTATCCAGACTTCGAAATTTGTTTCTGCTTATAGTTGTTAAAAAAAAAAAAAGAAGAAGAAGAAGAAGAAGACAGTAACCTAGATGAGCCAGAGAGGAGGAAGAGGCGGGGCACAGTTCTGAGCTGCGCTAAGGCAAGTCTGGGACAGCATCACATTCTCTTCTTGACATTCGTGAGCCTATCGGATTTCAGGCCCTGGATACAGAATGGGAAGGAAAAACAAAGGACAAGGAAGTATAAGCAGACAAAAAGAAAAGAAGATAAGACAGCCGAGAGGGTAATCTTATAGAGCCAAAGGGGCTAAAAATAAAGTGGCTTTACTATTGATTTCCACTAAAGTAGTTAAAGAAATAACAAGCTCGCATAACAAAAAAATATACTGTTTTGTCGCCACCCCCCCCCCCCCCCGCCACCACCAAGCTGCCAATGTACTGAAATGGAGTTACACATGGGGGTTCTAGAGGTGAGAGACTGTCTATCAGACTATCAAGATTCATTTTATAGAACATATGCATATCAGCATCCAGTGAATTCTTACAAAAAGGAAAACTTTTTTTTTTTCTGCTTCCCCAAGTTTAAACATGAAGGGAAAGCCATTTTCAGAGGAAAGGCTCTTTCTACATAATATTTAC